TTAACCTGAGACTATGGCGAACGGGACCCACCTGCAGGGTTGACCTAGTCAACCTTTGGTACTGCTGACATAATAATTGCAATTTCTGAATTAATTTAATTATGCTAATTTCTAGAAAATGATTTAAAATCTTTAAAAATTAATATAAAATAATTCGTAGCTCGGATGGAAAAACTTTGTACATGAAAGTTGCTCAGAACGATGAGACGAATCCGGTTGCGCAGCCCGTTTGTCCGCCACACCTCCCTAGCATAGCAAACATGCAACTTTCCCCTCCGGTTCATCTGTCTGAAAACGCGAAACTCCGGGGATACTTTCCCGGATGTTTCCCCCCTTCGCCGGTATCACCTACTACTGCGTTAGGTCACCTCTAGCACTGCGTATTACCATGCTACACTTTGTGATACTTTGATTGCTTAGTTATTTATTGTGTTCCCCCTCCGTTACTTCTTTCCGGTAGACCCCGAGACTGCTGACGACCCCCAGTTCGACTACGGAGTTGACGCCCCTCTTTGCCAGAGCAACCAGGCAAGCCCCCCCCTTGATCACCAGATATAGCCGATTCTCCTCTATACTGCTTGCATTAGAGTAGTGTAGCATGTTACTGCTTTCCGTTAATCCTATTCTGATGCATAGCCTGACATTGTTGCTACATTTGTTGATACCTTACCGACAATCCTAAATACTTAGTATAGGATGCTAGTTTATCATCATTGGCCCTACATTCTTGTCAGTCTACCTTGCTATACTATTGGACCGTGATCACTCGGGAGGTGATCACGGGTATATACTATACATACATACATACTATACAGATGGTGACTAAAGTCGGGTCAGCTCATTGAGTACCCGCAAGTGATTCTGATGAGGGGGCTGAAAGGACAGGTGGCTCCATCCTGGTAGAGGTGGCCTGGGTTCCCGACTGCCCCCGACTGTTACTTTGTGGCGGAGCGACAGGGCAGGTTGAGACCACCTAGGAGACAGGTGGGCCTGGCCCTGTTCGGCGTTCGTGGATACTTAACACGCTTAACGAGATCTTGGTATTTGAACTGAGTCTGGCTACTAGCCTATACGCACTAACCAACTACGCGGGAACAGTTATGGGCACTCGACGTCGTGGTATCAGCCGAAGCCTTCGTGACGTCAGCAACTGAGTGGCGCGCGCCAGATTGGAACGTAAGCCTGCTCTTGTATTAAGGGGGCTAGTTCTGCTTCCGGCCGCGTTCGCAACGTGGAGGTGTGCTAAGGGCGATGGGCCCAAACCCCTATGCGCTTAGGTTTAGACCGGCGTGCTGACCTCTCTCTTGTGCCTAGGTGGGGCTGCGACGTGTTGATCTTCCACGGCCGGGCATGACCCCGAAAAGTGTGTCCTGCCAAATGGGATCAAGCGTGTTGGGTTATGTGTTGCACACCTGCAGGGAAGTTAATCTATTCGAATAGCCATGATCTTCGGTAACAGGACGACTTGGAGTTGTACCTTGACCTTATGACAACTAGAACCGGATACTTAATAAAACACACCCTTCCAAGTGCCAGATACAACCCGATGATCGCTCTCTAACAGGGCGACGAGGAGAGGATCGCCGGGTAGGATTATGCTATGCGATGCTACTTGGAGGACTTCAGTCTACTGTCTTCTTTATGCTGCAAGACGGAGGCTGCCAGAAGCGTAGTCTTCGACAGGATTAGTTATCCCCCTCTTATTCTGGGATTCTGCAGTTCAGTCCACTGATATGCCCCTTTACACATATACCCATGCATATGTAGTATAGCTCCTTGCTTGCGAGTACTTTGGATGAGTACTCACGGTTGCTTTCTCCCCCTTTTCCCCCCTTTCCTTTCTACCTGGTTGTCGCAACCAGATGTCGGAGCCCAGGAGTCAGACGCCACCGTCGATGACGACTACTACACCGGAGGTGCCTACTACTACGCGCAGCCCGCTGACGACGACCAGGAGTAGTTTAGGAGGATCCCAGGCAGGAGGCCTGCGCCTCTTTCGATCTGTATCCCAGTTTGTGCTAGCCATCTTATGGCAACTTGTTTAACTTATGTCTGTAATCAGATATTGTTGCTTCCGCTGACTCGTCTATGATCAAGCACTTGTATTCGAGCCCTCGAGGCCTCTGGCTTGTATTATGATGCTTGTATGACTTATTTTATTTGTAGAGTTGTGTTGTGATATCTTCCCATGAGTCCCTGATCTTGATCGTACATGTTTGCGTGTATGATTAGTGTACGATTGAATCGGGGGCGTCACATTTCTGAATGTTAAAGATGAGCAGTAAAAGATACAAGTTGCAGTTCCAGGGCAACCTGGCTTAGATCCTTTTCTGGTTCAGGTAATAAATGTTTGGTATTCTTACATACTTGCATCAGTTCAGACCCGCGGATACAATAAGTTGAGGGAAAACCCATACAAAAGTTCAAAGTTGAGAAACAGGGGTTCTTTCTTTCAATGTTCGCTAGTGTATGCAGATTGGGTTTGCATGCATTTCATAGTTGGATGGCTACTGATCTCTATAAAACCTTGGAAGCAGTGCTTGCATTACTAGTCCAACTATACTAGGTAAAACTGAATGTACCTAGCCAGTTCAATAACATCATCTCCTTGTGCAAAAAGGTTGTCTAAAAGGTCGAACTCACATCTGCTTCAGAATATCGCACAAAAAATTATTTATGTGTATTTGTCTTTTTCATATTGAATTATTTGAAGTAATACAAAAATAGCTCACTTTTGTGACTTTCATCATTTGAATATCTATATGTCTCATGTTCGAATTTTCAATTTCTTTAAAACTAAACTAATGGTCCTCTTGTTTCAGGGCCGAGGGAGAAGGCAGAACCTCTGGGTGCATGATGGAAAAAAATGCAAGTACTTTTTCTACTAGTGAGTTCTTGTTTAGATGTTCAGGATACCGTTCAGGATACCGTTCAGGATAGCAGGTGCATGATGGAAAATTGTGTATCATGTAGTTCTTGTTTAGATGCCGTGCAAGTTCAAAAATTGTCTATTTTGCCACTGGAGAGAACACGTTGGTTGCATTGTTTTTCCAGTGTGACGTCCCTTGGTATGTTAGGAGTACTGTTATTGTTGCTCTGCATGCAAATGAATTAGCTTGTCCTGCTAAGATGAGGATGTTTGTTCCTGAGTCTTGAACTTTAAGAGGTCAAGGGAGATGAATAATTTCTGTCATATGAAAGTACAAAAAGGTTGAATTAAAAATATTGATTAGTACGAGTTAAAAATGGTGATCAGTTCGAAATAAAAAGAAATTGCTAAGATGAGAATGTTTGTGCCCGAGTCTTGAACTTTAAGAGGTCAGGGGAGATGAATAATTTCTATCATATGAAAGTACAAAAAGGTTTGAATTAGAAATATTGATCAGTACCAGTTAAAAACGGCAATCGGTTCGGAATAAAAAAGAAATAGCTAAGATGAGGATGTTTGTGCCTAACTCTTGAACTTTAAGAGGTCAGGGGAGATGAATAATTTCTGTCATATGAAAGTACAAAAGGGTTTGAATTAAAAATATTGATCAGTACGAGTTAAAAACGGCGATCAGTTCGGAATAAAAATAAATTGCTAAGATGAGGATGTTTGTGCCTGAGTCTTGAACTTTAAGAGGTGAGGGGAGATGAATAATTTCTGTCATATGAAAGTACAAAAAGGTTGAATTAAAATTATTGATTAGTACAAGTTAAAAACGGCGATCAGTTCGGGATAAAAAGAAATGGTCAGTTTGAATTAAAAAAGAAACACACATAGAAATTCAAATTGTAAAAGTTCAAAAAAGTAACCCCATGAAAATTCAAATGGTAAATATACAAGTCGTAAAATGAGAGAAGTCCAGAACATCATTGCAAAAAAATGTCGAGTTAAAAGAAAACATGCAAAATGTTTTCTTTTTGAAAAGAATATCATTCAGTTCAACAATATAAACCATGCAAGGTCATTGGAGATGATACTGTAAACCGTTACTCAACGAGGAAAACCTTACCGAAAAAACAGAGTAAAAGACGAGTATGAAAACGCGCTCAGCACAAAACCATAGGGAGATCAGTTCGAGTACTCTTTTTGCCGAACGGGAAAAGCAACCGTATTCAAAATTACTCCGTGAAAACTACCTCAATACAAACACACACAGATATTAGTACGAGTACTCTGTGTTTTAGAAGGAAAACAACATGATGGGTCTTTCGTATTTGTATTTTTTTTGAAGTAGAGAAGACAATCAGTTCGACGAGATGAATATCGTCAGTACAACTTTGAAGACGATGGAAATTCCTGTATGATCCTGCTTTTTTCCTTTTATGAAGATGATGGCGGCACGGTTGGCGTCTGGAGTTTATCTTCAGACCGTTCATGAAATGCAGTTTTGACCTTGTGGAAACGAGCCGGGTTATATGGAAAACAATATCGAAAACCATGATCCAGTTTATTCCGACTCAATGTCACCAATACATGCGCGTTTCAGATGTCTGTACATTTCTATTCAGTTCCACCAACACACACGCCTTTCAAATCTCTTAATTTTAGCAAGAGATTCTCTATCTAATAAGGACAATAAAAGGTTGAGTGTAAATCATTGCAACACGACATTATTTATTCATCAATTATCAACTTCAACGGTAAAAAGCCCAATTGCACCATCGATCGCCCAGTCATTTTCCCCAAGCATGGATGCACATGCGCACTTGATCGATCAGAGCTCAGAGCCCGTAGAGTTCCAGAACTCATCCAGGTCAAGTAACGTCACCGCCTCTCCCTGCCTCTGCCCCTGCGCGATGGCGACGCGGTGGCCGTTGTTCGGGCCGGTCAAGCAATGGCACCGCCTCTCCCTGCCCCTGCATCTGCGCGACAGCGAAACGGTGGCCGTCGTCCGGGTCAAGCAATGGCACCGCCTTTCCCTGCCTTGGCCTTGCATCTACGCGACGGGGACGCGGGGGCCGTTGTCTCGCTGCGGCTGCGGCGGCGGAAGAGCAGCCGTGGAACCCTGCAGCTATGCACCGTGCACAGGGACGATGGCGAGCTGCGCCCGCGTCCTGGTGAGCTTGCACTGCGTTGGCTGAATCTCCTCCTGCAGCTGGCTGATGATCCCGTCACATCCGTACACCGGGTCCTCCACCAGCCACTGCGCCTCCATTGCCATCGTCTCCGCCGCCTGAGCTCTCTCATCCACCGGCAAGCTCTACAAGTGGCAACCAAGTTTAAATGTCGAACCATGTAGCACGAACTAGCTGATGGTTTGTCAATGGCGGCTGAAACGATTGATTACCAGAGGTCATGTAGCTTGATCCTCGAGCAACCTTGCGACTTTGCTGGCGCCAAAGGCCAGGTGGACGGCGACGTAGCGGTGAGGGTTGCGACACCGGGAAGTAGGAGGTGAGCACGCAGTCGGGGGCGCACCTCCTGCGCAGGTACTTGCACGCCATGCACCTCCCCGGGTTACTGCCGCCTCCCTAGTCTTCCTCGTGCATTTCCCTGTCGCCGGTGGTTGACGTGATAATCTAGTGCTAGATCCTGGTGTCGTGCATGCTTTGTGCTGGAGTCCATCATCAGTCAAACCCAAAAATCAAAGCATCACAGTAGTCCATGGCACTGTCCGCGTTGAATTAGGCTGCCCTACTCCATGCCGAACACACAGAAAAAATCAGTTCATCTGGGAAATTCATATCAGTCCAACATCTCTCGGCTGTCAGTTCAAAAAGGGTAACAGAATAATATTCTGTTACGCGTAACAGAATAGCCCAGATGTATATATATATATATATATATATATAATATTTGTGTTCTGTCCTATACAACATTCACTTATAGCTATGTCTTCACTCTTGAATCTTTTGATCTAAGTGAATGTGATCGGACCCTAACCTATTCTATGCTTCTACCTCAACCCTATCTGTCCAAATCATATGCATTCTATTGAAACCTGTCAATTGTCTTCTTTGAGTCTCTGTCAGCAGAGGACAATCCGACAAATATTTAATCTGTTTTTAATGTTGCATCCTTATTGCCTGAAAACCAAAGAAGCCGGAACGACCACCCGACAATCCATGCGTGCGTGGGAACATGGATCAACTCTCAATGAGTTGCATGTATGCCACGTGTCTCTGAGATGTGAACCGCTAGGGGCACATGCGTAATTACGTTGCGCCGCCCTCCTCTATCTTATAAATTCTCACCCGCGTGGTCATTATCTGTTCTTCCACCACGCCACCTCCAACAAATCCTAGCGCCTCTGCTAGCTTGCGTCATCGCTGGAGAAGAAGCACTCAGCTGCCGCAACCTCTTCAACGCCGTCCTCACGCGGGCTGCGGACCTCGTCCTCTCCGCCGCCGCCGTAGGTGTCTTCCGCCGCCAAGTTAGGGCGCGGGGGATTGAACTGCTTGGCTTCTCTTCCCATCCGTCTAGCAGTTCATCAAGGGTAAATAAATCTTACTTTTTACTGCCTTTTAGATCTGTCAAATCCGACCACTTTTTCCAAAAGTGGTTTCTAAACTTCCAAATCTGGATTTGTTCACTTCTGTATCTCATACCATGCTTAGTATATTCACTTATGCTTCATAACTAACTAGATTCCTTACTTGTACTTATTCATGGATTCTTATAAATCTGGAACCGACTCTCTCCAAGTGAGTGAATGTCTTCGCACTATGAGGTCAATGTCTTCAAAACTGATTTATCTTCAAAACCTCCTAAGAATGCATATGACCTCTTCCCCTTTCCTCGCATCTCTAATGCTGTCACAGGTACATGTCCATGGGAGAATCCCTTGGTTCTCATAGTCTGCATACATTTGCAGAATACTTACAGCATCACACTGAATCACTTGAAGCCAGTTCTTGTCTGAAGCCAATCAGACAGAAGCCATTCTCTATGTTGAAGCCAATCAGCTTAAATATTATGGCTTCAGAAAAGTCTGCTCGGAAGGGTTGCAGGCAATGCCAAGGCAACACAGCTCTTGATCTGCCTCCTGCCTTGTATGAACAATACAAGTCAGACGATGAAAACTACATCCAGCGCAAGAACCAGATTAAGTGGATCCAAAGATATGGGGCTCAGGGGTGGTTCAAGTACAAATCCATCACAACTGAATATGCTGAGAAGAATGCCATCAAGCATCCATGGGGAGACTGTCTGTATCGCGGCCTAGTGCCGAAGAACAAGGCTAAAGCTATTGCGCAGGAATTCTATCCTTGAATGGTCAGATGACTGCAACCTGAAAATGCCGACCCATCCTCCTTATTATGGTGTCGTGACGACAATCTCTTCAAGCGCAACTTTCAGTTTGTCAAAGATTTTGCTGCCCAGAACGCAAAAGACTAAGACCTCAACTTCAATCCTGACCCCTTTGCTCCCAGATCTGATGGGACACATGAAGCCAATGAAAACAGAATTGGCCCCTTTGCCAATTTCAATGAGCTTCTATCTCACATTGCTGCTCAAAGAGCAGCAGTGGAGCACTCTGATGGTGATGCTGATACTGAAGGTGCTCCCTCACCGCCCAAGGAAAATAAGAAGAAGAAGACAAAAGCTTCAAATCTGTCTTCTTCACCAAAAGCTTCAGCAAGGAAGGCTCTAAGGATTGCACCGCCTGAATCCAGTATGCAGTCTAAGGATTTATGTCGTGTGTCCCAAAGGACCAAGAAGCCATTGCCCAAGAAGGCCACTGGACAACCTGTCACATCCCTAGTTCTGGTATGCTCAAGGCTAGCTAGTCATGTGTTGTAACACCCTGGATGTAACTTTCCATCTTTGTAACTCCAACTCTTGCCATTTTAGGCTATATGTTATGATATTCCCTTTGTGGTTGGGTTTTTGTCTTTTGTTTTGCATTTTGTTCATGTCATGCATTTCATATCATGTCATCATGTGCATCTCATTTGCATACGTGTTCGTCTCATGCATCCGAGCATTTTCCCCGTTGTCCGTTTTGCAATCCGACACTCCCACATGCACCGGCGCACCCCTCTTGTCTCTTTTCGAGTGCGGGTGTTAAACATTCTCGGAATGGACCGAGGCTTGCCAAGTGGCCTTGGTACACCACCGGTAGACCACCTGTCAAGTTTCGTGTCATTTGGAGGTCGTTTGATACTCCAACGGTTAACCGGATAACCGCAAAGGCCTCCTTTGGGTTGCAGCCCAACACCCCTCAAAAACAGCCCAACAACCCACCTAAGTCACTTCCATGCTCTCCGCCGTCGGATCACGATCGTGTGGGCGAAAACTGCACTCCATTTGGAGTCTCCTAGCTCCCTCTACCTACAAATATGTGCCCATCCCCGAAATTTCGGGCAACTCCTCCCCGCCGCCACCGGACGCATCCGGACCGGGCCGGACACATCCGCCCGGCGCCGCCAGGCGAACCGCGCGCCGCCACATGGCCGCGCCCACATCGCCGCGCCGCCTCCTCTCCGCCGCGGATCTCCGTCCGCCGGCCGTCGCCAGGCCGCCGCCTCCACCTCGGCCCCCCGCCGCCGTCACCGGATGCGAGCTCCGCCGCCGCCCGCCGCGCGCCGCCACGTCGCCCCGCGGCCGCCTCGCCGCTCCGGTGACCGCGCCGCCGCCTCTTCCCCGAGCTCCTCCTCCGGCCGTCCTCATCCCCCTCCTCTCCAACTCTGGTGGCTGCTCCGGCCGTCATCGGGAAGCGAGCCGGATCCAGATCTGAAATATAGGGTTGACCTCGTTTTCCCTCCAAGTCTGCATATCATCATGCCATATTCATCATGTCATAACTTAGCACCCGTGGCTCCATTTTGGGCGTGTAGCATACCGTGTTGTTCGCCTCGACGAGTACATCATTGTATCTCATTGCATCATTTTCATTTGAGCTCATCTTGATGCCCTAAATGTTGTTGGAAGAGGGCTATGTGATGTTAGTTCCAGATTCTTACCAGAACATGCACTTTTGTCATTTTTGCCATGATTGATGTGTGCATCTTATGAACTTGAGCCCTACATATGTTTTGAACTATGCCATGCCATCTATACAGAGGTGCTTACCATTTATTTTTGTGATCAATGTGGTGACAAGAACAAGCATGAAAACTAGGCCTCGTGATGTTGCTGTTTTTAGTCCCTGTTCTGCTGTTATTTTGATGCCATGTAAACTTGATGCTACAGAGAGATCCATGCATATTTTGAGATATTTCAGTAAGGATGTTTTGAACATATGGTTGTGCTCTATCCATTCATGCCCCTGTTTGAAATTATGGAGTAGTCTAGCATGTCATTCTCGTGCTCTACTTTTGCTACAAAATGTTTCCAGGCAGATTGTTTACATGTTATTCAATTTTGCCAAGGTTGTTGTAGTTGATCCTTGCATGCTATGAACTTGTTCTTGCCATGGATATCCTTATAAACATGTCTTCCTGTTGATGCTATGCTTATCTTGTCATGCAATGGCTTGTGGTGAGTGAATCGAGCTCGCGAAGATGCCTTCATAATTCTGTCAATGCCATGCCCTGTTTGCTGAATCTGTTAACGAAACTTGCTATGTTTACCTGGATGCCATCATTTCTTCTGATCCTTTTTGGCTCATGGTTAGTAAAGGACTTTTGTTCTATGCATTTAGTACTATCATTTCATGCCTTAAGTATCTATGATATGTTCCTGTAGCATGTTGGTTGGTTGCTCTGAACATTGCTACCTGATGCTGTTTATGCCATGTCCAAGCTGATATCTTTTGCACTTTTGCCATGCTTGTTTGAACCTGTTGTTGTGTGATTTAGCCGTAGCTCAGTGTTCCTCTTTTGTCAAGCATCTCCTGTAGATCACTGTCATATGCTTTGTTGTTATGTTGGGGTGCTGTAGCATAGTTTCTTGATGTATTCTAAGTGCTATCATGCTGTTAATCGCAGATTGGTGTCATTCGTGTTTTGCTTGCCATTTGCAAACCGTGCATCCGATTCCGGTGATCTTTATATCGATTTCAACCGAAATCATCTCATCTTTCCAGAGGCATACTTGGTTTGCCAAGTTGATGCCTTGTTCATCATTTTCCTTCTGGAGCACGCATAAGCATTGCATATCACATCTCGCATATCATGCCATGTATTGCATCATGTTGCTTGTGCATTGCACCGTGATTTATTGTGGTTCCCTTGCTTGTGTTCTTGCTTTGGGTAGAGCCGGGAGACGAGTACGTGCATGAGGAACCTGTTGAGAACGCTTACGAGGATCAAGCTTTCGACAACTCTGAGAACTTTGCAGGCAAGATGACCATACCTTCGATATCACTTCTATCTTTGCTTTGCTAGTTGCTCGCTCTATCGTTATGTTAGCTCTACCTGCCATTGTTTATCGTGCCTCCCGTATTGCCATGTCAAGCCTCTAACCATCCTTTCCTAGCAAACCGTTGTTTGGCTATGTCACCGCTTTTGCTCAGCCCCTCTTATAGCGTTGCTAGTTGCAGGTGAAGATGAAGTTTGTT